TTAAGCAGATTTAATTCTAACTTCATTCTCTTTTCACTAATAAGTGAAGTAAGAGTGACAGTTTTTATTATTATTATTAAAATACTTTAATTATATTCCAATTCTAATGAAAAAAAAGTATCGTCGTCAAATTGATCACATGCAGCATCATCATCTTCATTAAATGATCTCTGATCAAGGCAAACATCCACATGAGAAAATAAAATAGAAACAATTTATTGCACACATCATGTTGACGGAAATTAACGCAACGAGTGCAGAAAACAAAACACTTTCTTTTAAAATTATCTTATTGATATTTTTAGAACTTTTTTTTATTTTATAATACAAAAATAATATACAGCTGTGGGATTTTCCATTCATATATTTGAGACGATCATTCACACACATCCCTTCGTACTGGTGTCTCTTCGTGTGAGCAGTTTTTTAAATGGTGAGATGAATAGTTTTATTTTGTCGTTTTAAAGTAGCGTTTCTTTCATTAATCATATGCGTTTTAACCAGAATTGTAATCAAGCGAAATACACAAAAAATAACATGGCAAGCAACTGTTGGACAGAGCATAATATGGTACGCAACTGTTATACAAAAACTAATATGGCAAGCAACTGTTGGACAGAAAATAATATAGCACACAACTGTTGTACATAGAATAATATGGCACACGACGGTTGCAAAGAGTAAAATATGGCACGCAACTGTTGTACATAGAATAATATGGCACGCAACTGTTATACGGAAAATAATATGGCACGCAACTGTCGAAAGGAAACTGTAATATGGATGATAAATTTTTAATGGTACACAACATTGTCTTTAATTTTCGAAACAGATGAAGTGTTGAAGCCAGATAGAGAAAGTAAACGCTGATGCAGTCAGTCAAAATGTTTGGAAGTTCAGAACTACGTTAAATGCGTTTTAACGTCCTTATAATACACGTAATTAACGATAACTTATTTTCATCAAGTGTGAAAAAATAGCGAAAATTTTTACGCGTTTCTCGGCTCATACAAACGAGACATATGGCAGTGAAAATTGCGAAAAAGGGAAAGTCATGTCTAATGTTTATTTATGTGTATTTCATTTAGCTTTTGTTGTTGTAAGAATGTTTCTTCTTTTTCAAAAATACAATTTTCATTTAAATAGACAGTTATTAAGGAAATAGCTTTTTTAAATCATTGACGATGTGCAGTATGAGAAGGTAAATAAATTTATAAAGACTGAGTTGAATTTATTTAGTATAAATAAAACATTTTTTTGATATTCTCATAACATCTAATGGCCATTATAATTGTAAGTTTATTGCCAACAAAAACACTGCAATTGTTGAATGCATAATTGCGTTTAGAATAACAAGGCTGTAAATTTAGATTCTAATAAATAATTTAAATGAAGTTTTGCTGAAAAAATGCAGAAATATCAAATTACGGAATGGCTTTAAAAATTATAATTTTCACTTCCCACAACTCATGTGTCATGATTCAAATCATCTGAATTTACTGATCTTAATTAATTGATGATATTTTCCAAATGTGTCAATTTTTTCATGTCGAACTGTATTTATGTGTCATCTTTACAGGTGTTAATTTCAAATTGAGACTAGAATGCTATAAACATTTATGAAGGAAGAAGATTGTTTGACAGGCTTACTATTTTTTCTATGATATTTAATTTTGAAGGTTCCGATTTCTATCATCTAATTAGGATATCACCGACTTCTGTGAATTAGATTTATCCTTTTGTATAAACATTATTACCTTTCCATCATGTTTAAATATCGAGGCTTATACTAGGATCATTTCTGGTTTCACAACTGAAGATGAAGTCTTGTTAATATACTATATAGTGTGTATCATAGGTAATATTTTGAGTAGGACTTTACTTAAAATTATCAAGATTCCTAAATGGGAACGAAAATCACCACGAATCATGAAGTTCGTCACCATTTTTCTCTGAATACATATAAATTTAAGCAGAAAAGATGTGTGTTTAACTGGAATTTCTGAAAATTTAAAAAAGAAAAGAAGAAAAAAACTTAATAGCCACTTTTTGATCTCCATCATACACAGTCGAGACACATAGTCTGAATAGCTTCAATAAATAATTAAGTTGAAATACGTCTTTAATGATTCGCACTAAATGTTCGGAAAATTCCCATAAATTAAGTTTGAATGAAAAATTCTTCATTCATAAATTTCCCAAATATTCCAGAGCACTTGAAAAATTTTAATTAAAAAAATTATGAAAAATCAGAAACAAAAGAGGAGAAAATCGACAATAAAAGTCTCTGATTCAGAATAATGCAGTTTCATTGAGCAGAAAATTCATGGAAATAAATTATAAAGATTTTGTTTTATGGCTGAAAATAAGGAAAAAAAGTTGCTGAATCTTCTTCTCATTTCTTTCTCGGAAATTGAGCTTGTGTCACTGATCAATATTTGACTGAATGCTAATTCAGTCATAAATATGAGATTAAATTAAGCTGTTTCGAATAATTAAAATGCAATCAATAATGAGTAAATGTGTTTGATTATTTAATTACATCAAGAATATGTGCATTATGAGTCTATGACTCAATGTGTAAATGTGTTAAATAAGGAGATTAAAATATATTATTTCCATAAACCATTAGTAAATGTCATGTGGATGATCATCAATTATATGTAGAAGTAGGAAAAGTTATGTATCCTGTGAAAAAATATTCAAGATTTAAAAAAAAATATATTGATTTAAGCAAACCTTCAAACCTTCAAAAATGTAAAAATTTTGAACTTTTAGATATTTAATAATAGGGTTTTCAATCCCGGTCCAAATTTTCAATACCGGGATTACGGGATTGAAAATTCTCGATCCCGGGATCCCGGGGAATCCCGGGATTAAGAGATTATTAAAGAAGCCTTAAAATTTTCAATAAATAAAACATAAAATCTTCGTTTGAGAGAAAAATTCTTATTTTATATTTGTTCTATGTATGTTTATTGTTAATGATTAAGCAAAAAAAAGAAAATTAAGTACTAATAATCTTAAAATAAGGTGTTCATTTTGGAAAGTACACTATGGGGCAAAATTGAAAAAAAGGGACTTTCACTTTGATTTTGGGACTTTTTCGAATTACAAACTCAGGTATATTTTTTCTTGTATAGGACATAAAAATAGACTTCTATGCCAAATTTCAAGTCATTTGGTGCTGTTCCTGCGATTTTGTGACTGTTTAAAGTTGAAAATGAGTGAAAATTCTGATTTTTTCATGCCCTCTTTAAATCTAAAGTTCCTTATGATTATTAAAGATATTGAAAAACGGTTTTCAGTTCCTAATAGTAATATATGAGAGCTTCATTTTGATATTCCACAAAGATTTTAACTTTGTAGTTTTGGTACCGCTATGGTAGGATATGTAAGAAAAACAGTGGAAAAATATCTTCACACGTGCCGCAAGTATCTTAGATCGCAGAATAGTAGGGAGTAGAATCACACGAGCATGTAGCACTTGTGGTTTTCAGAACTGTATAAACTTTGTCCAATATAGTTCTGCATTAAAAAGTTATAGCGATTTTAGTGAGTCGATGAATATTTAACCGAAAACTAAAATTGCTTATAAAAAATATAAATCAATGAATACAAATAAGTTTTTTCATGTTTTCTAATTACAAATACTGTAAGAAAACAAACAGTGAAAAAATTTTTTCAAAAAGTTCAAAATTTGATGAGATATTTGGTACATTTGATATCTGACGACTTGTATGCTTTTCTCATCACTCAAACCACTAGTACTCTTACAAAACAAACTATTTTTTAATTTTGTTTCCAGTTTATTATAGCTTAAGTCAGAACCTTTCTAATGATGTATAATACTTGATGGTTGACTTTGATCTTGGTCATGAATATGAGAATTATTTGTATTTCTTGCGAACGAATTTTTTTACAAAATTTAAGAATTTTTTAAAAATTTTAACTACTTACTCAATCCCGTAATACCGGGATTGAAGCTGTTTTCAATACCGGGATTACGGGACCAAAAAAAAAAAACGCGGGATCACGGGATTGAAAACCCTATTTAATATTTATTGCAATGGTTGTGATAATATTTTGAAGATTTAAAAACCTTCAAAAATGAGAAATTTTTGAACTTTTAGATATTTAATATTTATTGAAAAGTTTGTGATAATATTTTGAAGATTTAAAAACCTTCAAAAATGAGAAATTTTTGAACTTTTAGATATTTAATATTTATTGAAAAGTTTGTGATAATATTTTGAAGATTTAAAAAAATTCAAAAATGTGAAATTTTTGAACTTTTAGATATTTAATATTTATTGCAATAGTTGTGATAATATTTTGGAGACTTATAAACCTACAAAAATGTGAAATTTTTGAACTTTTAGATATTTAATATTTATTGCAATGGTTGTGATAATATTTTGAAGACTTATAAACCTTCAAAAATGTAAAATTTTTGAACTTTTCTATATTTAATATTTATTGCAATGGTTGTGATAATATTTTGAAGATTTAAAAACCTTCAAAAATGAGAAATTTTTGAACTTTTAGATATTTAATATTTATTGCAATAGTTGTGATAATATTTTGGAGACTTATAAACCTTCAAAAATGTGAACTTTTTGAACTTCTTTTAATCCAACATTTACAGTAAAATCTACTCAATTTAACATTTCATTTTATAAATTCCCTCTTAGATGTCGCCACATTCTTCTTCTCATCTACTCCCTCACAATCGTCATAAAAAACATAGATAGTACATATTCTCACATAATCAAAACTTCATTTGGAATAGCTCACGTCTCTTTACATTTGCATAAATTGAAATGAATAATTTCACTTTGCAAAATATATTCTCAATTTAAAAATCTCGCAATTTAATTCACTTAAATAATGATAATAATCTACATATACATATTATTATATCATCTCATTTATTTTATCAGTCATACATAGAATATAAAGAGTCGTAGCTTCTCAGACTGACGAGTCAGTTGACTGGAAAATTTTAAACGTAAAAGATGAAAATAAAAATTTTCTTTGCATTATTTTTGATAATTTTTGCAAGCATAGAGGAAGGAGATTTTGCGGAAATACCAAAGCCTGAAAACTGTGAAGGCAAAGATTGTGAGAAAAAGGTTAAAGAATGCATGCCAGGTTTTTGGGGAGAACCATGCAAAAAATGTGAATGTGAAGATCGTGCTGATTCTTGCGATTATGCAACTGGAAATTGCTTCTGTAATTCTAAAGGCGTAATTGGTGATAAATGTGACAAATGTGATGAGAAAAAGTTATACAAGAGAGATCCATCGTCTGGAAATTGTTATTATGATCTCGATAGTTCTATTTACGTTTTTAAGTTGACATCGCCAGCCAACAAGCACCTCACAAAGATTAATTTCAAATTCTCGCCAGAAGATCCAAAAGATGACATTAATTTTGCAATTAATTGCGGTGAAAATTGCCATCATTTCGAGCTAAACATGATCGCAAAGGAACATGGAAAGGAGGACAAAGTCGTGGTTAAGAATGAGAAAATTGAAGGAAATAAAGTTTTTGAAAAGATTTTATCTCACAAAGACTTTAAATTTGGAGTAGAAAAAGAAAAGCCAATAACTGAATTTTTTATTCATGTTCAAGGTTTTAAGGCACCAACTGTGTTTAATGTTAATGTTATTCCTGAGTCAAAGAAGCATGATACATTCTTGACATTCTATGAGGCATAAGGATAATTATTAGAAATTTGAAGTTTATGATTCATTTTTGACATTGTGGTTGGCATTATTTTAATTTTTAATGATAGAAAGTTTGAGAATAAACCTGATTTACAACTGTTATCATTTCGATCAGTTTCGTATTCTTGATTTGATTATAAAGCTTTAGTGACTGTGTTTTATATATAACAGCGCTTATTAAGTTTGCATCCACACACATCTTATATAATCCTTAAGTCTTCAGTTCTAACAATATCAAAGCAAATGTTTGACATAAAGTAAATTTGATCTTGACTGGATATGATTATGATTTAAGTTAGCATTGATCTCATTTGATCTGGATGAGTCAGGGGCTTTGAAACAATCTGCAAAGTGAGATTAATTCTTACTCACAGAGTAGCTCTGTTCAACCACCTAAGAACTCACACCTCAAATCCTAGAATATTACAAAATCAATTGCTATTACATCCTCTAAACTACCTGCGAAGTAAATTCACCAATAAAATCTACAATAACCATTCCCAATGTTAATTCTTGTCTCATAAATTTTACTTTTAAAAAACATAAAAAAAATACTTTTTATTTGATTGTTGGTAATGCTGAAATGATCATGATATGAATAAATAATTAGCATATATTCAAATTATTCTTTCGCATTTAATTCTACCAAATGCAATGAACAGTTAATCACTGTTTGTTCTTCGTTGCGTTTACATCGTGTTGAAAAAAGTTCTTGCAAAAAATATAAAATGTTGAGAATTTTTGCCGTTTTTGTGATTTTTTTGGTTGAAAAGTGTCAAAGTGAAGTCGAAAGTCCGATTGTGTTTTATGATTTGAAGACTGGAGAACCTTATGGTCCACCTATAACTACTATTATTCCTTATTCTGAGGATCCGAGTTTCAATATGTCAAGTATTGTGAATATAAGACTGCCGTTTATTGGACAGCCATGTAAGTTTAGAATAAGGCTTCTCTAACATGAAAGGAACCCTGATTATCAATTAATTCCAACAACAAACTTATTCATGTACAATTTTAAACATCCTATACCTCAATATAACCTTAAAATTGACCTTTTTATTCCCTAACAGGTGGTTGTTATGACTATCAATGCGGATGCTGTGCTGGAATGTCAATGGAACAATTTAATATCAATCAGAGAAGTAAGAGTCACGTGCATTTATGCAATTTCATTTAATATATTCCATTTAATTTAAATAATGAATCTAATTTTAATATTTTATCTAAATAGTGTGTATGAACTTCACATATGATCCCTATGAATTTGCTATCATGATGGACATGAATATGAACGAGAATAGTGTCTACTCCAATATGTTTTCTGGGAAGAACCCGAGTCCGCTATGCTTACCTGTTCCTACTGGACGTAAGATGATGTTTTTTTGGATGTTTTATCAACTAGAATTTAGATTAATTTTGTTTTGGCTTTATAGCAATTCCATTGGGAATGGAGATGTGCGTTAAGTTGTTCAACATATTCACACCTGGATACAACCTTCACATGTGCATGGATGTTTTGGCACAAATTCAGTCTTCACCAATGATTGTAAGAAAATCAATCCATCCATATTTTACAAATAACTTAACTTGTATGATTCGACAGATTCTCCATTTTGACTGTATGAGATTTGGACGAGATGGACCTGCCCTGCTTAAACCAGAAGAAAATGGAGGTTTAGAACCAATTGATGAAGGGAGTACAGGAGAGGAAGGAGGAATGGAAGAGACAATGGTTGTATATGATCCACTTCCACCCGAAGAAGATATAAGGAAGAAGAATAAAACAAATTTTAATAAAAATTGATTTTTATTTTTTTAATTCAATAAGAATCTCACAATAAATTAAAGTTATTAAAATTTAAGCCTTGTTCTAATATCTTCGAACCTTCTCATATTGTTGCTTCAGAAATTCAAACTCTTGATTTTCCTTATCAGTCAAACCATCACAGTTGAAAGCCTCCCGAAATTCCTCACGAGCCTTAAACCAGATATGGAAATATTTATACTGAAGATTCAATGCATCAAACTGATATGAGCGGTAATTCATAGTTTTCTTCATGAAGTAAGAATTAGCAAAAGTAAGCCAATACATTTGTTGATTGTTAAGTGTGAATCCAGGCAATTTTCGTTCCTTAATGCTGTTATTCCTTTCCCATTTGACATAATTTTTATATCCCAACTGAATGCTGTCGTATTTGAATGTATATTCAAGTCTGTATTCCTGTTTTGTGATAAATATTGCAATAAACATTAATATCGAAGATTAAAAGCATAAATAATGAACTTACAGACTTCATGTGCTTTTTCAAACCTTCATTAATACTTCTCACAACTTCAGTGAATAATGTCGCAGTATTGTAATATCTTGATCTATTTTTGTCATAGTATGGATATTCCAAAAAATCAATTGGTATTAATAGTAAGTCACTTACAGGAAAGTACTTTATATCGTTAAATTTACTCAATTTATAGGCTCGATAGAACCATCCACGCTTAGATTCACCGTCAAGTTTCTCTGCATATTTCTTTAGTTTGATTGAAGTGTTCAAAATATGTTCATTGCCTTTAAGTTCTAGTTCTTCGTATATTTCTTCCAGTTTAGATTCATCAAAGATTTCTTCACGACCACCAAGAAGGATCACAACTTTCTTTAGCTTCCTTACAACGTCGTCTAATATAGTTTTATCAAGTTTCTTATCAATTTTAAGCTCTACAATGACGTCATTGACTGCTTCACGAACAAAATCTTCAACATCCTTTAGATTTTCATTCTTCATGTAAACTTTTGCATACAGAGAAACCAAAACGGGTGACAAGTTTGTTTCTAAATAATGCAGACACTGTTCTTGACGTTCGAAATTATGTTGGGATTTCAACTTTTGTTCGTGTGCTTTGTAAATTGGATAAGGGACGTATCTGTAATTATATTACAGTATTAAAGTTTAAAAATTATGGTCATAGCAATTAAAATCATAGATTCTGTATACTTACGTATGCTCAAAATCATACAAAAATCCTAAATGAAAGATATCCATCAAAATCCTAATCGGAGTATTTTCCAGCAATTCCAATGTTTTTGAAAATAATTCCCAATGTTCAATCATTACTTCCTCCTCTTCAAGAATCGGTTTTGAATGCTCTAAATATCCATCATTGATAATTGTAAACCAGTTCAAACTCAGGCTTGAATTTGGTAACAAAATTTTATTAATAATTCTTATTTTTAAGACCATTGGCGTAAGCTTCTTTTCTGGTGGAATGAGATCTCGCTTCTTTGCCAAATATGTTATCAAATGATTAACAGAAGCATTGACCAGAGCGTCATCAACTCGAATCATGAAACCAATTTCCTTTAATCTTTCCAAAAATTCTTCTTTTGCCTTGTCTGGATTCTCAAGCATGGCTTTATGTATAAAATTCATGTCGTGATTATATTTGAAGCAAATTATTTCACCGTCTGGATCTCTTGGATTTCTACATCTACTCATTGTGTATGCAAGGAAAAAGTCTAGCTTCCATGATGGATCGAAGATATTTGATGTTAAATTGACTTGATCTGGCCACCAGTCAGCTCCATCAATTAATGGGAATGTTTTATTTTTTGAGAAATCTTCTACTTCTGTTTTTCCGTGGCGTTGGATATATTCTGTGGATTTGAATAATTTATTGAAGGTATTTTATGTGACTAGATGGAAGAAAATGAGTTTTTCAAGTGGGTCGGAAAATTCAACCACTTAGATGCCACAATTCTTACCTGGATCGACACATTTTTGGTAAAAGTTCTTAGCAATTTTAAAAACACGGCGGTCACTTTTACTGATTGGCATTTGCAGCAATTTCTTCTGTCGTTCTCGATGTAGTTTGAGATTATCGAAAAGAAAACCTGCAGACGATATTAAAACGGGTTTAACTGCTGTGCCAAATTATCATTTATTTTTGTAAATATTTGGTAGTTTTAAATGCTTAAAATGAAATATATGCCATACCTGATCGATCCTGCTGCGTCTGATTCCTAATGAAACTTCCAAGTGCAAATTCCTTAAAGTCATTGCATGGCTTTACTGATTTATTGGTCGTTATATACTTTAAAAGTCGAGATGCATCTTGTAAACAAACTTTAGTTCCGCAAATTTCATCTTGTGGAAGTTTATTTCCAAAACTTCTTGTACTATGGATTTTGGATACTGAACAAGACATCAACCAAAAAATCCACAAAATTATTTTAATATTTCTCATCGAGGTCGGTCAATGATGTTTTCAGAACAACAGTCAAATTGGTACTGTGTCTACTTTCTTTTCTTTCTCTGCTTTTTGGGAATGCTCAATATTTGTGTATTTTTGTTTGGCAATTTTAAGAGAAAGAAATGAAAATTGCCGGCTCTGTCACTGACCTCGCGAACATTTCTGGTTTGAAGAGTTAAGAACGCAAAAGAATAATTTATACTGACCGAAATACGAAATCAACATTTAGGGATCCCGTTTATTTGTAGATTTGTGAACATTAAATGGATCACATTTGTCAATTTACTGGTACAGTTAGCAACGCTTTTAACAATAACCATGCGATCTGAATTCAAGAAACAAATTTTGGAGAATGTATCCGTTTTTAAAAGCAAATGAAAGCCACTTCTGAGTCGATCGGGGTTCTCAAATTGAATGCAATTGAGCAATTGGACAAAATCGAATTGGAAATATAAAAAGCAGTTCGGTTCTATTATCTTTTAGAATGACTGATTTCATTTCGACTATTGAAACATTAATCCCATTTATAAAGTCTTCAGCAAGTTGCAAAACTTTTTCATTTCTTCGACTTTTCTCTCAAGGTGTTTAACAGTATCAGATGATAATTGTATCGTTTCTGCATTATCTTTTTCATCCAAATTAAGCAATGGTATGACATTTGCAAGCTCTGAATCAAATAAAAAAAATACTTCTCTATCCAATCATGCAAACAGTCTGTATGATATACATGTCCACATGGTGTACATGATTTTGCTCTGTCTGGAATAAGCAACAGATCGGTACAAATGCAAAAATCTTTTTGCATTTTTCAAATCAAGTTAGTTTTTTAATCAAAGTCTGATGATGACTGATACTTTAAGTCGTTGATTTTAAGTGATGAGAAAATAAAAGTAAGCTAGATATAACTAATATTACTTCTGTAATGTTCCCGAACATACAAAGAGCATGCTCAGAAAAGTGAGCATATAAATGAGTCTACTCAAAAATTATACTCATGCAAGCTCATTCAACTGAGCATGCTCAGGAGTTCATTACGAATGTACTCACTTTATTTTTGTGAGCGTAAAGTACGGCCGAGACCCATATCGACACAGTTCAAAAGTTTTACTTAATTTATGTCATAATTATGTCAGCTACAAAAACACGTAGTTTGAATTTTGTCACCATCGGGAACACAATGAATCAGTATAGCTGATTTTAGTCCAAATCTCGGCCATACTTCACACTTATTTGAACCACGTTTTCTCGTAAATGTTAAAATATTATTAAAAAAGTAATTAATCCTAAATTATGTCGCTATTTTGTCAAGAGTTTTAAGATAAAGAATTTGTTTTTTGGTTTCCACAGTGAAGAGTATAAACAAAATTCAGATGGGGTAGTCGAAATTTAAGATTTCGATTTTTTAAGCTATTTGTATTTGTTTGAAGCACTAGAATATTTATGCAAAGTTTCAATCCATTTTGATAAACCCTCAAAGAAAAATGTGACAAAATTGATTTTGACTAGGGTCGCCCCTAGTCCAAAATTGAAAATGTATTTCCTACTTGGTTCTTTGCTCAAAAAAATTTTAGGATGTTTTATTTGTATTTGTTTTAAGCACCAGAATATTTATGCAAAGTTTCGATCCATTTGTATAAACCCTCGAAGAAAAAAGTGACAAACTTGATTTTGACTAGGGTCGCCCCTAGTCCAAAATTGAAAATGTATTTCCTACTTGATTCTTTGTTCAAAAACATTTTAGGATGTTTTATTTGTATTTGTTTTAAGCACCAGAATATTTATGCAAAGTTTCGATCCATTTGTATGAACCCTCGAAGAAAAAAGTGACAAACTTGATTTTGACTAGGGTCGCCCCTAGTCCAAAATTGAAAATGTATTTCCTACTTGGTTCTTTGCTCAAAAAAATTTTAGGATGTTTTATTTGTATTTGTTTTAAGCACCAGAATATTTATGCAAAGTTTCAATCCATTTGGATAAACTCTCAAAGAAAAATGTGACAAAATTGATTTTGACTAGGGTCGCCCCTAGTCCAAAATTGAAAATGTATTTCCTACTTGGTTCTTTGCTCAAAAAAATTTTAGGATGTTTTATTTGTATTTGTTTTAAGCACTAGAATATTTATGCAGAGTTTTAATCCATTTGTATAAACCCTCGAAGAAAAAAGTGACAAAATTGATTTTGACTAGGGTCGCCCCTAGTCCAAAATTGAAAATGTATTTCCTACTTGGTTCTTTGCTCAAAAAAATTTTGGATGTTTTATTTGTATTTGCTTTAAGCACTAGAATATTTATGCAAAGTTTTAATCCATTTGGAAAAACCCTCAAAGAAAAAAGTGACAAAATTGATTTTGACTAGGGTCGCCCCTAGTCCAAAATTGAAAATGTATTTCCTACTTGGTTCTTTGCTCAAAAAAATTTTAGTATATTTTATTTGTATTTGTTTTAAGCACTAGAAGATTTACGCAAAGTTTCAATCCATTTGGATAAACCCTCGAAGAAAAACGTGACAAAATTGATTTTGACTAGGGTCGCCCCTAGTCCAAAATTGAAAATGTATTTCCTACTTGGTTCTTTGCTCAAAAAAATTTTAAGATGTTTTATTTGTATTTGTTTTAAGCACTAGAATATTTATGCAAAGTTTTAATCCATTTGGAAAAACCCTCAAAGAAAAAAGTGACAAAATTGATTTTGACTATAGTCGCCCCTAGACCAAAATTGAAAATGTATTTCCTACTTGGTTCTTTGCTCAAAAAAATTTTAGGATGTTTTATTTGTATTTGTTTTAAGCACCAGAATATTTATGCAAAGTTTCGATCCATTTGTATAAACCCTCGAAGAAAAAAGTGACAAACTTGATTTTGACTAGGGTCGCCCCTAGTCCAAAATTGAAAATGTATTTCCTACTTGATTCTTTGTTCAAAAACATTTTAGGATGTTTTATTTGTATTTGTTTTAAGCACCAGAATATTTATGCAAAGTTTCGATCCATTTGTATAAACCCTCGAAGAAAAAAGTGACAAACTTGATTTTGACTAGGGTCGCCCCTAGTCCAAAATTGAAAATGTATTTCCTACTTGGTTCTTTGCTCAAAAAAATTTTAGGATGTTTTATTTGTATTTGTTTTAAGCACCAGAATATTTATGCAAAGTTTCAATCCATTTGGATAAACTCTCAAAGAAAAATGTGACAAAATTGATTTTGACTAGGGTCGCCCCTAGTCCAAAATTGAAAATGTATTTCCTACTTGGTTCTTTGCTCAAAAAAATTTTAGGATGTTTTATTTGTATTTGTTTTAAGCACTAGAATATTTATGCAGAGTTTTAATCCATTTGTATAAACCCTCGAAGAAAAAAGTGACAAAATTGATTTTGACTAGGGTCGCCCCTAGTCCAAAATTGAAAATGTATTTCCTACTTGGTTCTTTGCTCAAAAAAATTTTGGATGTTTTATTTGTATTTGCTTTAAGCACTAGAATATTTATGCAAAGTTTTAATCCATTTGGAAAAACCCTCAAAGAAAAATGTGACAAAATTGATTTTGACTAGGGTCGCCCCTAGTCCAAAATTGAAAATGTATTTTCTACTTGGTTCTTTGCTCAAAAAAATTTTAGGATGTTTTATTTGTATTTGTTTTAAGCACTTGAATATTTATGCAAAGTTTCAATCCATTTGTATAAACCCTCGGAGAAAAAAGTGACAAAATTGATTTTGACTAGGGTCGCCCCTAGTCCAAAATTGAAAATGTATTTCCTACTTGGTTCTTTGCTCAAAAAAATTTTGGATGTTTTATTTGTATTTGCTTTAAGCACTAGAATATTTATGCAAAGTTTTAATCCATTTGGAAAAACCCTCAAAGAAAAAAGTGACAAAATTGATTTTGACTAGGGTCGCCCCTAGTCCAAAATTGAAAATGTATTTTCTACTTGGTTCTTTGCTCAAAAAAATTTTAGGATGTTTTATTTGTATTTGTTTTAAGCACTTGAATATTTATGCAAAGTTTCAATCTATTTGGATAAACCCTCGAAGAAAAAAGTGACAAAATTGATTTTGACTAGGGTCGCCCCTAGTCCAAAATTAAAAATATATTTCCTACTTGGTTCTTTGGTCAAAAAAATTTTAGGATGCTTTATTTGTATTTGTTTTAAACACTAGAATATTTATGCAAAGTTTTAATCCATTTGGATAAACCCTCAAAGAAAAAAGTGACAAAATTGATTTTGACTAGGGTCGCCCCTAGTCCAAAATTGAAAATGTATTTCCTACTTGGTTCTTTGCTCAAAAAAATTTTAGGATGTTTTATTTGTATTTGTTTGAAGCACTAGAATATTTATGCAAAGTTTCAATCTATTTGGATAAACCCTCGAAGAAAAAATTGACAAAATTGATTTTGACTAGGGTCGCCCCTAGTCCAAAATTAAAAATGTATTTCCTACTTGGTTCTTTGCTCAAAAAAATTTTAGGATGTTTTATTTGTATTTGTTTTAAGCACTGGAATATTTGTGCAAAGTTTCAATCTATTTGGATAAACCCTCAAAGAAAAAAGTGACAAAATTGATTTTGACTAGGGTCGCCCCTAGTCCAAAATTGAAAATGTATTTCCTACTTGGCTCTTTGCTCAAAAAAATTTTAGGGTGTTTTATTTGTATTTGTTTTAAGCACTAGAATATTTATGCAAAGTTTCAATCTATTTGGATAAACCCTCGAAGAAAAAATTGACAAAATTGATTTTGACTAGGGTCGCCCCTAGTCCAAAATTGAAAATGTATTTCCTACTTGGTTCTTTGCTCAAAAAAATTTTAGGATGTTTTATTTGTATTTGTTTTAAGCCCTAGAATATTTATGCAAAGTTTTAATCTATTTGGATAAACCCTCGAGGAAAAAAGTGACAAAATTGATTTTGACTAGAGTCGCCCCTAGTCCAAAATTGAAAATGTATTTCCTACTTGGTTCTTTGCTCAAAAAAATTTTAGGATGTTTCATATGTATTTGTTTTAAG